CATGGACAATTCTTGGATCGATTGGCCACAAGGTGAAGTTTCAAGCATCATCAATTTTCTGATTTCAACCAGTTTGGGGTCTACATTCTTGTGGTCGGCAGTTTTCACCTGGAGGGGTCTGCTTCCTGTAAAAACAACTTAGGAATGTGTGTCAGGCCTTTATCTAATCTTTCAGGGAGTTGTGAGTTTGGGGATTCTGCTATGTGGAAGAATTATAGTCTAAATTGTTACCAATTCCCTAGTCCAACAGCTATTCTTTGTTTCTATATCTTCCCATTTCCTAATCATTAACTCTTGACTCAACATTTTACTTCAAAAGACAAGGACACAGGGGTTTGTCACAGTTTCATTCCCAACCTGGGCCACAGGTCTGGAGCACCTGCTTGTTAGAACGCCCTCACCAGAGCTGAGCCAAGCAAGGAGGTCCCTGCAGGCCTGGACTCAGTGCTATCAGAGACCATACTGAGGAATGAGATGGGATAATCGCTCCCCAACAGAATCTGGATCTGTTGTATAATGTGTTTGTGCTTGTGTTTTATGTCATTTGTTGTTAACTTTGGAAGAAAAAGTGTCTTGGCCCTGGCAGGAGCAAGCCTGGCTTCTCACCCTCAACCCAGTCCCAGGTCTGGGAATCTTGGTCTTTGGGCTTCTCAGGGCCTCAGTTTCCTCACCTGGGCAGATGCAAATGATCACATGTCTCTTGGAAGTTTGCTGAAAGGATAAAATCATTAATGGATGATCTTCCAGCTCCTGGAAGATAGCCTGGTCTGCAGAAAAAGCCTGGTAAAAATTACTTTTTCTCATGACCTTTGTCTAGAGCACTCTCTTATCTGGAGGCAGTATAGTTGGAGCCTGAAGAATCCTTGATCCCTGATACATCCGTACCTATTTCCTGATCCTGAAATCCCTTTTTTATCGGGTAACGCTTTTACCACAGTTAAATATGAGGCATAAAGGACATACTGCAGAGAGAGGTTACGTAAATCTGAGAACTAATTGTGAAGGGGGAAAGGGCTGTAGTTAGAGAATCCAGGAAGAACGGGATCCTAGCTGGCTTCTTCTATGTGGATGGCTGTGTGCATAGGGTCCTGCAACTCAGGGTCTGTGTCAGCTCCATGGGTCCTGAAACACTGCTGTGTCCTGTGTCACAGCAGGAGGGAAGCTCACCTTTGTTAAAATCAAACAAGACAGAATTTTCCCTGATAGTCCAGTGGTTAAAACCCCGTGCTCCCAATGAAGGCCAATGAAGGGGACATGGGTTTGATCCCTGGTTGGGGAAACTAAGATCCCATATGAGGCACTGTGTGGCCAAACACAAATAAATAAATAAATAAATAAATAAATAAATAAAACCCCTTTCCCTCCCCCCAAAAGAACAGGAAAGAAAACAAGACAGCTTTGAAAAGGAATGACATTCTGATACATGTTGCAACATGGATGAACCTTGGGGACATTATGCAAAGTGAAACAGACACAAAAGGACAAATAATATATGGTTCCAGCTATTACTGAACCAAACTTGGATCTGCTTGCTTTTGAGCAGTAAAGCCAATCTACTGACACTGGGTTGTGAGGAAGAAAAGTGCAGTGCTTATTTTAAGGCACCAGAGGAATCTAGCATAACTCATGCTCTAAGGCCTGAACTCCCCAATAGGTTTCAGGGAGGCTTTAAAAAAAAAATTTATTTGGCTGTGATGGGTCTTAGTTGCAGCAAACTGCCTCTCAGTGGTTAAGACTCTGTACTCCCAATGCAGGGCACCGGGGTTCGAGTCCTGCTCAGGGAAGTAGATCCTGAAGTGAGGCATTTCTAAAGGCCAGGGGAGAAAGGGGAGTCCCAAGGTGTGTGATCAACTTGTGTACAATTTTTGGATTGACTAATGTTGAAATACAGGGTTGTGTCACAGGGATTAACATTATCAACCCTCAGCCTGCAGTAAGTCTCAGGATTAAGCACTCATGGTCATAAGTAAACGTCTTCCATTTGGTGAAGTTTTTAGCATCTATAAAACAACTCAGGAAAAAATGCATCAGAAACTGTTACTTAGATACTTCAGACAGGAGCTAAAGCAGAGAATCTGGGGTCGGGGGTGTCTTTCCAGGGAAGTCCCTATAGGGTCCTATTCTGTTACACACTTCTGTGAGGTACCTAGAATAGGAAAACTCATGGAGACAGAAAACATAATAGTAGTTACCCCAGGGCTGGGATGAGGGAGATGGGGAGTTATTAATGGGTATACAGTTTCAGTTTGGGATGATTAAAATTTTCTGGGAATGGATAACAGTCATGGTTCTAATTCTCTGTATGCTGAGGCCCAAGCAAATAAACAAAAATAGGCTTTAACGGCAATAGGGGAGATTCATAGCCACCTAGAGGAGACATTCTCATTTGTCAAAATTCCAAACTCCTGAAAAGGGAGAGTGAGGTTGGCATCAGGATCTCCAACCAGCATTCCCTGGGGTAGAGGTCAGGGACCCACAAGGCCCTGCCCTCTACCTCTGGGGACCTGCTGAGTCCACGACCTTCACTTGCCCTTCTCTTTCTGTCCGAAGCTAAGACTCACAGGTGTGGGGGGAAAGAGGTAGGATTTTGAATGTTTCTCAGGGAGCCATTGTGATTTCTGAGGCTCACTTCCTTGGGCACTCAGAGTTACCCTACGAGCTTGTGTAGCAGGCCCCGGGCCCAAAGAGAGCCCTGTAAGGAAGGGATTATAACAAAGACATGAAGTTGCACTTAATGGGATTACAAGGCAATGAAGATTGCTCTGACATCTGGGCTGAGCTTTTGTCAGTACCTTTGGGGTACATGCGAGGTTGGGCTCAAGTCTAGGGCTTGTGTTCGAAGCCCATGAAGCAAAACAAGGCAAAACCAGCTTAGAGCCTTGGGAACCCAATCACATGATGCTCTGCTTCTCAAGGCAGGTGCCAGGGCAAGGAGTCAGGACCCAGGAAGTGGTTGTTTTAAAAAACAATCTAATGAGGAAACGATTTCATCTTTCAGTGTAAAAACCTTCCAAATAGAATTACCAAGACCATGCAATGATCATTAAATAAACTGGGTTATAGTTTTGAATATTCCCCCAATAATTTCTTTTTATTTTTCCTTAATTTCTATCAGGTCAGACTCTTGGCTTTGGGGGAAGTCAGAGGAAAAAGTCATCCCACACAGACAGGGCCAGGCTTCTTCTGAGTACTCATCGTTCCCTCTCTTCTTTGTTATCTTTTGGCCATGGCTGCCCAGGTCGGGGATGAGAAGGGGGCCATTTGCTAAATGTGATCCCTAGATTGAGCTTTGACTGACAGGCAGCAGGGTCTCAGGCTCCACTCCAACTGGGCAGGGATGCTGACTGGCCTGAGTGACTGATGAGCAGTCTGTCCTCTGAAGGGGAGGGAGGAATGGATGGGACAGGGTATAGCACGGGAATGGTCATGTCCTGTGGTGGTCTTGAGGAATCTGCAAGAAGTCTGATGAGTCATTAAGTCATTTCACAAATAAGGTCATGTACCGAGGTGTACACGCAGAAACAGACCCAGTGTGCAGCCTGGACAGACATCCCAGTAACAGTTTAGGGCTGGTAAAGTTGTGTACCGGAAGTCGTTGGCAGGGTCCCTGCTCCAGACCAGAGACTCCCGCCCCCACCCGGCAGGCCTGGAAGATCACCCTAAAAAGCTCTTCATCCCTCCCCCAACAGAGCCCTGAGCTGGGGTTGAGTTTCAAATTTCACAACTTGGGAACTTAATTATCACCTTTAAAGGAAGTATATCAAAGCTAGGGAAACTTCGGGTCAATTTGTGTAATTATTCATCAGTTATGTTTTCCTGTGGCTCGGACGGTAACAAATCTGCTTGCCAATGAGGGAGACCCAGGTTCCATCCCTGGGTCAGGAAGATCCCCTGGAGAAGGGAATGGCAACCCACTCCAGTATTCTTGCCTGAAGAATCCATGGACAGAGGTGCCTCGTGAACTACAGTCCATGAGGTCACAAGGAGTCATACACGACTGAGCAACTAGACTAACTAACACTGCATCTAATCTCAGTGTCATTGTAGTTGGAATTGTTCAACCAAAGCAAAACCTAGCCTCAGGTATCTGTTAAGTGGAATAAGGTTGTCTAATTGTCCATGATTTTTCCAGGGCTGCAAAACGTTTTCTGGACACTCTCTGTCCATGTTTCCCCTTAGGATTAACTAGTGTCACCATCGGCTTACTCCTGATCTGTCATTTGCCACTTTTTTCTGTCCCCAATACTCAGAATCATTGTGGGTGTTGGAGAGATCCTGCTCTCTAAAATCACCACTCACTGGCTTCCCTTGTGGCTCAAGTGGTAAAGAATCTGCCTGCAATGTGGGAGACCTAGTTTCGATTCCTGGGTTAGGAAGATCCCCTGGAGTGAGGGAACGGCTACCCACTCCAGTATTCCGGCCTGGAGAATTCTATCGACTGTACAGTCCATGAGGTCACAAAAAGTCGGACAGGAATGAGCGACTTTCACTTTCACGTCCCTTAATGGTCTTAGTTTAGATGCAGACAGAAAGAACAGTGCCCTCTGCAGGCCACTGCCTGAAGTAATATTTATATCAGTGCGTGTCAACCGTGTTAATCGCTCAGCTGTCTGACTGAGAAGGCAGATTGTTAACCATCTGAGCCATCTGAGAAGCTCGTGTGTGTGTGTGTGTGTGTGTGTGTGTGTGTTTTGTATCAACCTCCTCTTAATTTACTCAGAGTAGTAACTTCATAAAAGTTGTAACCATCATCCACAATTGACAAGCTTAAAAATTTTCACACATCAGAATGGTTTTTTTTTTTTTTTAATTTTTATTGCATTTACTTGGCATTTGCTGCTGATGGCAATATGGTTTTGTTCTTTTCTGACACGTTACTCTTAGAATCTACACTTAAGATTACTTAGATTACTCCTAGAATCTACACCATTTGCTTTGCTTGGCGACAGGAGCCAATGCTGTAATTGGTTCATTACTCTGCCATCCTAAGACTGCTGCCTTTAGAACTGCAAGACATTCCTGACAACCTTAACATAGTGGTTATCCGGGGGCAGCTTCCTCTGACTCCCAGGCTGCAGAAACTTCTTAATGGTAGGAATGTTGTTGGTTCTTGTCTTAAATTCCTGAAATGAGAAACAGTAAAATCAGGGTCTTAAGATGCAGTCACAACCTTTAAGGGAGCCCAAAACTTTGTTACAAGAGGTGGAAAGCTTAGATCCTCAGTTGGTGAGGCCTAGAATGTTGAATCCAAGTCAATCCCTTGAAACATGTTTGCTGGATGTTCCTGAGAAAGTAATACAACTGCAGGCCTGTTTGGCATAAGTGAAATTTTCTTAGTGAAAAATCATTGACACCATTAGGTGGTGCATATCAATAACTCCAGAAATTCATATTTTTTGAAGTATCAATTCCTTTCTAGAAATTAATTATAAGAGAATAAGTAAGAGTGTGAGATAACTATAAGAATGTTGCCACAATGAAAAACGAAATAATTTATATTTCTCAGAAAGTAAAACTGTATATAAATTATGTTATATCCCTAAAAGAAATATGTCAGTAATTTAAAATGATATTTTATATATAAAATAAAGAGGAAGATCCCTGTATTGACAGGGATTGTACTTCATTCCGTTGTTTAGTTAAAAAAAAAAAAATAGCCCAGAGCAGAACATAATATACACAACTTTCCGCTATGTGGGAGATAGTGGGACCAGGAGAGACAAATATATAATTCATATTTCTTGTAACTGCATAAACAGGAACAAATACTGAACAGGCACACAGGAGTCAATAAAAAAGATTATAGAGGTGAGAATATAGGCGGGCAGTGGTGAGAATGAAATTCCATAGTTTATGCCCTTTTTATACAAGTTCTGATTTTTCAAAAAGATGTGACTCTACTGCCTAATAAAAGTAAAAGAAAATAAAATGATATTGCAGAAGAATATGCATTGACATGTAAATATATTTATGATAAGTGAAAAAAATGTTAAAAGCAGGCCACAGAACAATATTTAGCATGATGCCATTTGGGGGAAAAATGTAAAATAAGAGGTCAGGAAGTCTAATACAGAACCATTTGGTTGGTAGGATTATAGGTCTTTTTTTCTTTTTGGTTTATACAAATGTCTTATGTACTTTTTTTTTGTTATTAAAAAAAGCTACTCTGGAACTTCCCTGGTGGTCCGATGGTTAAGACTTTGCACTTCCACTGCAAAGGGTACAGGTTCAATCCCTGGTCAGGGAACCGAGATCCCACATGCTGTGTGGCAAAGCCAAAAAAATGCTATTCTTGAAGTACAAAACCTATGGTCACCTATTGGAGAAAATCTTTGTAAGGAACTGAAACAGAAGCTAGGTAAGTTCTGGCAGTGTCAGCATTCAGAGAGAGGTCTGAGGACTGGCAGTGTAGCAGGAGAGAGGCAGGCACATAGACACACAGACACACACACACACACACACACGTGTGTGTGTGTTAGTTGCTCAGTCATCCTGGCTGAGCACAGGCGGTACCCTCTGAGCAGAGGCTCTGAGCAACTGAGGGCCTTCATAGCATCAGGTGTTCAAGCTGGATTTAGAAAAGGCAGAGGAACCAGAGATCAAATTGCCAAAGTCCGTTGGATCATCGAAAAAGCAAGAGAGTTCCAGAAAAACATCTGCTTCTGCTTTGTTGACTATGCTAAAGGCTTTGATTGTATGGCTCACAACAAACTGAAAAATTCTTCAAGAGATGCGAATACCAGACAACCTGACCTGCCTCTTGAGAAATCTGTATGCAGGTCAGGAAGCAACAGTTAGAACTGGACATAGAACAACAGACTGGTTTCAAATAGGGAAAGGAGTACGTCAAGACTGTATTTTGTCACCCTGCTTATTTAGCTTATATGTAGAGTACCTCATGAGAAATGCTGGACTGGATGAAGCACAAGCTGAAATCAAGATTGCTGTGAGAAATATCAATAACCTCAGATATGCAGGTGACACCACACTTATGGGAGAAATCAAGGAAGAACTAAAAAGCCTCTTGATGAAAGTGAAGGAGAGTGAAAAATTTGGCTTAAAACTCAACATTCAGAAAACTAAGATCATGGCATCTGGTCCCATCACTTCAATGCAAATAGATGGGGAAACAATGGAAATAGTGACAGACTTTATTTTTTTGGGCTCCAAAATCACTGCAGATGGTGACTGCAGCCATGAAATTAAAAGATGTTTGCTTCTTGGAAGAAAAGTTATGACCAATCTAGACAGCATATTAAAAAGCAGAGACATACCTTGCCAACAAAGGTCCATCCAGTCAAAGCCATGTTTCTTCCAGTAGTCATGTATGGATGTGAGAGTTGGACTATAAGGAAAGCTGAGCGCCAAAGAATTGATGCTTTTGAACTGTGGCGTTGGAGAAGACTTTTGAGAGTCCCTTGGACAGCAAGGAGATCCAACCAGTCCACCCTAAAGGAAATCAGTCCTGAATATTCATCAGAAGGACTGATGCTGAAGCTGAAATGTCAGTACTTTGGCCACCTGATGCAAAGAGCTGACTCATTTGAAAAGACCCTGATGCTGGAAAAGATTGAAGGTGGGAGGAGAAGGGGATGACAGAGGATGAGATGGTTGGATGGCATCACTGACTCAATGGACATGAGTTTGAGTAAACTCCGAGAGCTGGTGATGGACAGGGAAGCCTGGCATGCTGCAGTCCATGGGGTCGCAAAGAGTCTGACACAACTGAGTGACTGATAGCATCGGGGGAGGAAAGGGGACAAAGCGGTCTGGCAGGAGCTGGAGAGGAAAACAACACAAGTAGACCCAGCAGCCATGCTTTGTCAGGAAAAACACTCAAAGCACCACACCAGTCGGAAAGCACTAACTGTTCATGGTAGAAATCAAAATCTTCTTTCTCCCTCCATAGGTTTTCTTTCCTAATCATCCTATTCTGTGAGCAGGAGACAATTACCAAAATGAGTGAAGTAATGATTTTTAAAACAGTCTTTTTAACTTTCTTTTGAGATTGGTCTGGAGGCATATTTTGCTTCAGTCTTTATGTCTGTTCATGTTTCCCTGGGCTCTGGGTGGATGCTAAAACTACCTTTAGCAGAGGGAAGTCGGAAAGAACAGAAGCATCAAGTTCTTCCACCATTAAAATAGCTTCCAGGAGCTGTATGTCTGCCCAGCTGAATTTGTTGCCAACGAGAAAATCCTCTCCGTGGTCTTTCAAAATCTGCAGAAAGAAAAATAAAGAATATCAAATAAAACTAAAGACTATTTTGCCTGGCTAACCACTTAACAAAAGCATGGGGTTTTTTGTACAGATCAAATTTACTTAAGAATCTTTTCTTGATAATCTCTGAGAATGCTTACAAGGATAGAATGAAACTAACACCTTTATGTGTGTGTGCTAGTTCTTCAGTTGTGTCGGACTCTTTGGACCCCGTGGACTGTAGTCTGCCAGGCTCCTCTGTACGTGGAATTCTCCAGGCAAGAATACTGGGGTGGGTAGCCATTCCCCTCTCCAGGGAATCTTTCTGACCCAGGAAGATTGCTGGATCAAATTCACGTCTGTAAGAATTACACGACTGAGCGACTAACACCCTTATATATTGCCGTAATTGGCACAATCTTTTTGGAAATTTGACAGTGATGATCAAGACAATTTGGGTGGTGAAGTGCTGGAGCAGAACTCCCATTATGAGCCTAGAATTGATTAAATAAAACTGTGCCCACCAGCATGGAAGACACAAAGGTCATAATTTTTTTTTTATTAGTTGGAGGCTAATTACAATATTGTAGTGGTTTTTGTCATACATTGACATGAATCAGCCATGGATATACATGTATTCCCCATCCCAATCCCCCCTCCCACCTCCCTCTCCACCCGATCCCTCTGGGTCTTCCCAGTGCACCAGGCCCGAGCACTTGTCTCATGCATCCAACCTGGGCTGGTGATCTGTTTCACCCTAGATAATATACATGTTTCGATGCTGTTCTCTGGAAACATCCCACCCTCGCCTTCTCCCACAGAGTCCACAAGTCTGTTCTGTACATCTGTGTCTCTTTTTCTGTTTTGCATATAGGGTTATCGTTACCATCTTTCTAAATTCCATATATATGTGTTAGTATACTGTAATGGTCTTTATCTTTCTGGCTTACTTCACTCTGTATAATAGGCTTCAGTTTCATCCATCTCATTAGAACTGATTCAAATGAATTCTTTTTAATGGCTGAGTAATATTCCGTGGTGTATATGTACCACAGCTTCCTTATCCATTCGTCTGCTGATGGGCATCTAGGTTGCTTCCATGTCCTGGCTATTATAAACAGTGCTGCGATGAACATTGGGGTGCACGTGTCTCTTTCAGATCTGGTTTCCTCGGTGTGTATGCACAGAAGTGGGATTGCTGGGTCATATGGCAGTTCTATTTCCAGTTTTTTAAGAAATTTCCACACTGTTTTCCATAGTGGCTGTACTAGTTTGCATTCCCACCAACAATGTAAGAGTGTTCCCTTTTCTCCACACCCTCTCCAGCATTTATTGCTTGTAGACTTTTGGATAGCATTCTGACTGGCGTGTAGTGGTACCTCATTGTGGTTTTGATTTGCATTTCTCTGATAATGAGTGATGTTGAGCATCTTTTCATGTGTTTTTTTAGCCATCTGTATGTCTTCCTTGGAGAAATGTCTGTTTAGTTCTTTGGCCCATTTTTTGATTGGGTCATTTATTTTTCTGGAGTGAGCTGGAGGAGTTGCTTGTATATTTTTGAGATTAATCCAAAGGTCATAATTAACTAGAATCTGGCTACTACACCACAGATAAGGTACCAGTGGGATACCAGAAGCTCAAACACGAGCCTTTTCACCATCCAGTGAAAAATGAATAAAAAAATTCCTCAGGTGATGCTTTGAGTTGCAGATGTAAAAAATACAAGTTTATTCCATAAATAAGGAACAATGGTAAATTTGTTGTTATTCAGTCACTCAGTCACGTCCAACCCTTTGTGACCCCATGGACTGCAGCATGCCAGGCTTCCCTGTCCTTCACCATCTCTTGGAGTTTGCTCAAACTCACATCCATTGAATAGATGAAGCCATCCAACCATCTCATCCTCTGTCATCCCCTTCTCCTCCTGCCCTCAATCTTTCCCAGCATTAGGGTCTTTTCCAAGGAGTCAGTTCTTTGCATCAGGTGGCCAAAGTATTGGCCTCAGATTAAAAGGAGCCTATGGCTCCGGGGAAGGACCCGGGGTGCGGGGACTGGGGAGGGTCACCCTCGTAGATGTCAGCCCTGACCTGCTCCCCTGGAGGATCTGAGCTCCCAGCTGTCGCTGACCTCCACCCTGGGCCTCACTGCCTCGGCCAAACTGGATCCCCGCAGCCTACCTTTTCAAAGACCGGGAAGTGCTGGGTTTTGGCTTTCTTCACGACTGAAGCCAGGCTTTCCTCTTTTTCCTCCGGGGGTTTGAACGCAGCCACCACCACCATCATCATGAGGTCCAGGGTGTCCTCGGCGTACATGTCGATCCTGACAAAACAGCAGGAACTCTCAATCCAAGAGAAGCCTTTGGGTGAGGGGTTTCTTGATCCACTACTTTTTTTTTTGGTGTGACTAGATACTGGGACAGATGACTTATTTGTTTTTTAATTATTGAAGTATGATTGATTCACAGTGTTGTGTTAGTTTCAAGTGTACAGAAAAGTGATTCAGTTATAAGTACGTAAGGCATATTTAGTTTTTCCTAATAGGTTATTACAAAATATTGAGTTTGGTTTGTGATAGGTCCCCTGAATAGGTCCCCGACCACAAATCCAGGAAAATTTTTACTGTTCCAAGTCTTTAAGTTTACTCATTTCCTGTAAAACTGCACTATTCCTGGGAGAAAGAACCCAGCCATGCTCAGCCAGGCCTAGCACAGTGCATAGCACAGAGTGGATGCCTGTGGTGTAGAAATGTAAAAAAACAAAGAAAGGACGTAGATCTTCACTCTTCAGTATTTGTGATAAAGCGTGGTAGCTCTCCCATTAGTAGATGGGGTCTGCTGCTTGGGCTGACCTCATGACTCGATTTGACCCAGAAGCTAATAGCTTCTGGGGTCCCAGTTCTGAGCCCAGAAGCTAACAGCCTGTATGCTTTCACTGTCTCTGAGAACCCTATCTGGCTGCCATCAGAACAAGCTCGGGAAGAGAGGACAAGAGACAGGTGGCCACTTGCTCACCAACTGATGGTCAGCCAGCACCCCAACCAGATTCCCCTTGCTGACCACCACTTGACCACAGACCTAGGAGTGAGTGCAGCCAAGATACATCAAGCCTGACCTGAAAATGCTGACACCCAGATGACCCGTTGACTGGTGGCGTTGTTTAGTCACTCGGTCGTATCCAACTCTTTTGCGACCCCATTGACTATAGCCTGCCACGCTTCTCTGTCCATGGGATTTCCTAGGCTAGAATTCTGGAGTGGGTTGCCATTTCCTTCTCCAGGGGATCTTCCCGGCAAAAGGATCAAACCCAAGTCTCCTACATTGGCAAGCAGATTCTTTATCACTGAGCCGCCAAGGCTTTCCCCATAGACGAGTGAGCAATAACAAGTCCTTGCTGACTTAAGTCCCTGGGCTTCAGGGTGACATGTTATACTGCATTGTTTGCAGTAATAGGTCATTGATACAATGCTCAATATTTGCTGAGTCAGTCATTGCCACCTTCACGCAGAGTAGTTTATGAGATTGTTTTATGAGAACACACTTTGTTAGGAGTTGGGAGAGAATATGAGAATGTCGAATGCAGACCGCTGTGAAGAGTAGAAGGGGCGTCCAGAAGCAGGTGTTCAGAGCATGCACAAGACATACTGGGGTAGCACAAGCATCTCCCCTTGTCCCCTTGTCTCCTCCCCTCCCTCCAGGCTGAAAGGCCACATCTGATCTGGGTCTCGGTGTAGGAAGACAGAGCTTGGAGAAGAACCAAGTATCGGCACAGGCACTCTGGTACCTGTCTCCTTCGGGTCCTTCCCATGCAAGTTGTACTTGGTAGCAAGGTAGCTGAGGATGGCTCTTGTCTGTGTCAGCTCCATTCCATCAATTTCAACCAGAGGCACCTGGCCGAAAAGCAGGCGTCCGTCTGTGGTTTGAGCGAAGAGATTAGGTTAAGAGACTCTCCCTCCATGGTTGTGGTCAGCCTGCAGGAGGGTCCACTTCTGATTTTGAGTGATTCTTAGTTTTCATCCAAAGAGGTGAGTTTAAGACTCTGGTTGTTGAGGAAATGCCTACCATTTGTTTCATGGAAAATGTGAGATTTGCTTGATAGTTTCATGAGTTTTTGCATGTTGGCTAATCATGGTTATTTAAGGCTTTCTACATTTGCTCTGACTGTATTATAATGTAAGTGTTTTTGGTTTTCAAAGTTTCAGGTATATAAGAATCACCTGGAAGAGGTAGTAGTTAAAAATACCCCACCCTCCAGATACTCTTATTCAGGGATGGAGTCTGAATTCTTTAAAAAGTACAACAGGTATCACTCCAGGTCTGCACAGGTCTGCACAATGGGATGGATGTGACAGCAAGAACCCAGGTCCTGGGCCCAAATGTCAGCTTTGGCCCTTCAAGCCCTGTGACTTTAAGCAAATGACTTATCTGAGCTCCAGTTTCCTTTTCTCTAAAATAGCTGTCATATCCATAGAGCAGGATTTTGAAAAGATGAAACATCATAAGTAAAACACTGAATACTGTCAACAATCAAGGTTCAGTAAAATCAAATTTTTCTTCTTTTTGAATGAACTGCCTGTATAAATAATGCATTTAAAGATGTACTAAAATAGTACTTTTTCATGGGGTCTTGAAGGAATGAATAGCCTTTCAATTTTCATTAACACCTGTACATTAATGAGAATAAGGAATTTTACCCAGAATAGGAGTCAGATTTCACTAGTGCACTGGCAAAGGCCACTGTTAATTTCCCCAGCTTCCAATAATTGACCTAATGAGACGTGGGAACATGGTGGCAGAGGATAGCACAGGCACCAGTGACAGCCTTCCAGGGAGCCAGTGTTCCTGTCTTGGGGTGATGGAGGACTTTAGACATGTCTTTAACTTCTCTGAGCCTGTTTTCTGATCTGTAACAGTATCTGTCCTGCCCACTTTACTGAGTTTCTTTGGGCAAGATCATACTTCGGAAATAGCAGTACTATTTTTAGCCAAGAGCCTACTAAACCTCCATTTCCTGAGGCAGTTCTACATTTGCCCAAAACTGAATGGACATCTAAAGCTGAGCTCTATGTTGCTGTTTATGAATGATGCAAACAGCCATTAGAAATGATCCCTGCTTCTAGGAGCCGATGATCCTCTTCGGAAGGATTGAAGAAAATCTCAGATCAAGAACACAGGAGAGGACCTCTGAGATCCTTTAGTTCAGTTTGTTCATGTTACGGACAATGCACTGTGGAGGCCACTGGGGCAGTGACTGGCTCGGACCCAGAGGGGACAGCTGAGCTGGCAGAAGGGGGCCTCCTGACTCCCAACCCAGCGCTCTCTCTGGCTGCCCCTGCTTACAGAGGGCAGCAATGCCCAGGAGGCTGTCCTCAACAGCATCACAAACCAAGGGAGGGATGGAGGGTTCCCTAGGATTTCCTGCGTTTCTAGGGAATGCTAGGAATGCTTGGGAAATCCCTAGCATTTCCTACCAGATTGATCACGGAAGAGTTTATACAACAACATCCATTTATTTATTCAATGCATAGGTATTTAACCACTATTATGTGACTGTCATTGTTTAGAGTAAAACAGGGCAGAAATGAAGAGGAAGAGGGGGAGAGGCACTTCAGAAGGATTATAGATAATAAAGGTCCTGGATGAGAATTGGGGAAGGGCTAAGCAGGTCTTCCCTCTCCATGAGATTTCCTGGTACTCGGCAGTCAGGACAAGAAAGATTCTCTTATTGTATGGCAAGGAGACAGGATGGAGAGAAATGAAAAGCCTTGCCCAAAGCCATGCAGTTTGTAAATGGCAGGTCTGCTGATGACTCACTGAAAGTCTTTCTTAAAAAATAATTTGTGGTAATTTCATGACTGCTTATCAGCAACAGTAGGGACCCTGGGTTTCCTTAGATAACGAAAATAGCATTATGGCTGTTAGAAGTAGGACTGGGGAAGTATCAGTCTTCTCTCTTAGTGGGAGAAAATCGGGGAATTGTAGGGATTAAGAACTTCTTCCAAATGTAATCAAACTTGGATCTTTTCTATAGTTATGATTCTACAGTTGTGACCTGGTAAAATGATCTCTGTTAATCTGCTAAAACCACTAAGAAAAAGTGAATATGAACTATGAGAACCAGAGAATATGTTAGATCTAATTCACACTCCCTTTTGCTCCCTCTCCTCCAGCCCACTGGATCATTGTGAAGAATCCTCGAAGGCTTCTCTGGTGGGATGGGGATTATTGAACCAGTTGGCACTGGATCAACCCGTGCTATCACTAAGTTGAGGCCAGAGTCATAACCTACCTGATACATTTTTATGAGGCTAAGGAGGCAGAGCCAATGACACATTTAGCTCTGTGCTGGGGGCACAGTGAACAGTCAGTGTTAGCAATCAGGCTGTGTGCCTTTTCTAATGGTTGTCATTCTAGAGTTCTGTGCTGAAATGAATATTTCCGGGAACATATTTTATTTTATTTTTCCCATAAGATAACATTAAATAAATCTAGGCTCACCCTTCTGCAACTTCTCATATTGTTCCCTTGTTTCAAGAAATTCTTCTTCAAACTAAAAAAAAAAAAAAAAGATACATTATTATAAACCTAAGGTGAGAGAAAGAAAGAAAAGAAATGCTTACAGTATAATAGTATAAAATTCCCAACAGCTTCCAGAATGAAAATTTTATAAAAATTAGTTTAAAAAATTAGCACCTGTTCAAGAATTTGTTACTGAGAGAATATGGCCCTCTTTTAAGTGGATATAAGTGTGTTTTCATTTCCCGCATAAACATACAAATTCATTTTCAAATAAAAGATCACCTTGAACCCAAAAAAAAAAAAAAGAAAGAAAGAAAAGACCACAGAGTTATCAACTACCATGTAGCTGAAAATTCTGACAGACCATGCGTTTAAAAGTAGCTTAGGCTAACATGGGACTGGCACCCCTTCTTGGGTGTTTCCTGATTAAAGGATATCTCCAAGCCCCCATTCATATTTTTCCTTGTCTTCATCTTAGCTCTGCCTTCTCTCCAAACTCTTGCCCTCTCCTCCAATTGCCCCCTGAGTTTTCCTCTTGCCTTTCTTCTCTTTTTTCTTCTCTTTTTTCTGCATCCTCTTCCCTCCATATCAGGTCAAGTTAGGCATTTCTTTCTGCTCACATACTCAGTGAAAGGGACCCAAAGGTCATTACTCAGGTGGGATTATCATCATTTACTGATGGAGTTTCCAGAACTTTTGTAGGACAGAGTAACATTTTGTACACCAAACCTTGAGGTGGGGGGTAAGATAAGGGGAGTAAAATAAAGCAAAATAAAGAAGATCCTAAGTCCGTGTTCTAGAGGAGGTGGCATTCAAATAGGAACAAGGGAGTCTACACCTGCATAAAACAGAACAATTCCAAAGCACTTGTAAAAAACTTATGAAAAAGTCAGAGAGGGTTAAGAAAAAATACTGGAGTTAGGGAAAGATCCCGGTGGAGTAGGCCTTTAGGAGAAGGGTCAAGGGGTGGTGGGCAGGCTGCAGCTGGGCCTGAGGTTCCAGGGGACAGCCATGGGTAGAACAGGACTGAAGTGCTGACCAGAGTTTGAAAGACCCCGGGAAATGAGCTGATCTCAACTGAGAGGATGATTCAAATGTGAGTCTCCTCTCTCTCCTCAGATTTGAGATCCACCGAGATCCTTCCAGGCTCAGGAAGCTTCCAGAACACCTCCCTAGGCTTCTCCCTTCCTACCCCTGTTTAAGCAGAGGACTATGATCTCACCTTCACCTCAGGAAGGCAGTTGGAAAGGGAAAAAGTGGATACAGCTTGAAAGGCACCGTCTTGACTTTTGAAAGGTGAAGAGGACCACTTCGGTCTCACCCAGATTACCGCCCCCTGCCATTTCCCAATCAGGAACCAACCTCCACACCAGCTGCAGCCAGCAGCCAGCGGATAGACTCCATCCTGCCTCGGCCACGGAAGTACCAGAGCTTCGGTTTGGCCGCCATGACTACTGGCTTGGGTTTTCTGAAGGGCAAAATAAGAAAATATGTTTAAAGAAAAAACTAGCACAGACTATATGGTATATCTCCCCTTAATTCCAAAATTGGTGAAACAAAACTATTATTTAAGGATGCATACATAGGAGGCAAAAGTATGAAGAGAAGCAAGGAAATAATTATGACAGACACAAGATGGTGGTTACCTCTAGTGAGGAGAAATGGGGGCTGTGATTGGAGTCAGGGTATGGGGGTTCTGGGATGCTAATAACATTCTGTTTCTGAAACAGAATTAGTAATTAGCCTTTATAATTGATCTTTAAACTGTATAGAAATACTTCTGCACTTTCCTGTGTGTATGCTCTAGCTCACTAGGAAAAGAACAAACAAACCAGTTAAGCCCCAAACTGCCCCGCATGACATGCTAGCTAAGGATCACACTTTAAAGTGGCTGCCTATGCTAACAAAACTCACAAGGAAGTAAAAAATCAGAATAATAGTAGTCAGTTTATGATGAGAAACATAACTGTTAATACCCACAATCATATGAGAACAGAGCCACTTGGGTTCTCAAAGTCTTGCAGGTTTTTTAAGCCATTTCCCCGACAACCAGCCACTTCTCCTCTGCATTGGATTTACAGTTTAACTCTTGGAGAAGTTTGATTCCTTTCCTGCTGTCTTGCCACTTCCTGGGCACTGCCTATGTTTGGTTGTCAAGATTCATTCCTTTCAAACTGCCTGGTTAGCTCTTGCATGACCATTTCAAGAGCTTCTTGAAAACCCACCACTATATTGTCCTGGGAGACACAATGATTAAAAAGGTACCACAATTCTCTGATTAGAGAAACTATGCTTAAGTCCAGCAACTCACTACTAACAAACCTTGAAACGAATTGTACAATAAACCAAATGTGGAGAAAATATGAGAAGAGGAGACAGTGACTATGTCTTCTTCCTAAGCTCTCTCCAACAAGATAACTCCCAAATCCTCTGATCTCCTGGAGCATCCCTTGTAGGATGATTAAGGACCAGACAGAAGCAGCCCCTCACACTGTTAGAAATCAAAAGGAGGAAGGTGCAGCCAAATACACACAGTTGGTTCCTGTGCCTGGGACATTCACATCCAGATGGCCAGCTTCCAGGTCCTGATCATGTGTCAGGAGGCAAATGAAACAGGCAACTGACAAATGGTTCCTGGCTCAGAGGATCCCCTTCAGGTCTGCAGGCATTCTGCAGCTTTCAGATAAAAATCAAGCAATACTGGTGAAGTCAAATGCCAGTGTCTCACTTGGGAAGCTCTGTCTCTCCTCTCTCTCTTGGGTGCACAGCCCTCTCACCATTTGACCCCTCTCTACCTGCCCTGAGAAACAGGGATGAGGATGTAAGTCAAACTGGAGCTGCTCTGAGCTTGCTTCCTGTCATTCTGTCTCCCTGAAATGTTTGGTCCAAATTCTGTTTGAAATAAACCCAATGGGACAAAGGAAATCCTGGTAAACCTCTTTTCATAGTGATTCTGTTCTGCTCCCCTAGTTAGCCAAAGTTGAAAGTTACGCTTTGGTTTAGAAACCGTGGATCTAAATACAGTCATCTCTGGTAACTTCCAGATAGCTGTTTCTGAGCAGTGGGTGCTAAAGTGTAGGCTGAATAGTCTTTCTTCTGTCTGGTTATTCTCTTAGTGAGATGAAAACTCACAGCCCTGGACTGCTCATAGGAGATGGGTACTTCACGTGGCCACCAAGTGTCATGACTTGGAGGCTCCAAATTATGTATTAGTTCTTGTCAAGAGTGAGCTGCCAATGGTACAGAACTCTCTCAGACAAAAGGACTGTCAGCAAAATGCCATCCTAAATGTATGAAGAATGGGACAAGCTTCTTGTTGCCATGGCAGTTGATATTCAAAGGGATGTAGAGGTATGTGCCTTGGAGGTGAAATTAGTGAGAAGCTGCAGACATCGGACAGCAGTCTGGTGTCAGGAATGGAATGAGGGGAGCGTCACTAAGTGAGAGGGAAGCCTGAGCTCCATTGAGTACAACCTCCTGGATGTGGGTAACAGCCCCTCGGGCCTGTCCAAGAGAATGAACAGTGAGAAAGCTTGTGACCGAGCAGGATTTTGTGGGGACTTCTGGGAACAGACTCCTTTTCTCCTGTCCTCTTCAGTCACTCCTTTCTAAAGTACCTAGCTAATAGCATCTGATGGACATTCCTGAGCTGTTTTACAGATGCTAAAACAACCACCAAATCTGAGAAACTAACTACTTGACGATCATGAGCACATAGGCCCCAGACCTACCAGAGCCTAAGGACTGATAATGTGATACCAGCCCCCGCCCTCACCTGGCCTTTAAAAATGCTTTGCTGAAATCCTTCGGAGAGTTTGGGCTTTTTGAGCACTAGCTGTCCTGGATGCCTCGCTTGGTACCCTGCAATAAGTGCGACTCTTTCCATCACCACAACCCAGTGTCAATAGATTAGCTTTACTGAACATGGGCAAGTGGACCCAAGTTTGGATCTGATTCTATTCATGTACAGCCTGCTTTGTGCTAGACATGGAGTTGGATGCTCAAACAGAAGTGATAAGTGAGTGTGACTATTCCCATCTTTCAAAGGCTGGGGGCTCTGCACTTTAGAGTCATGAGTCCTCACTATTGTACAACCTTATTCCATCTCTTTAGGCCTCTGTCTCCTAACCCTTAAGATGGGGTACTGGTTGTATTCCCTGCCTCAGACAGTTGTTGTGAAGACCAAGGATTGAAAAAAATTAATAGATAAAATACCATACCATACCATAATGTCTCACCCATATCAGCTAGAGTCTTCCATGCTTCTTTAATCATATTACAGGTGGATGTGGTATTTTCTTAGAATTTTTTATGCTAAGATTGGCTTGTTTTATACATGATTTATGTCTGTCACAAATGCAACTGATACTTGTAAAAGAGAGCTAAAACTTTTGGAAATTTGACCAGATATTGCAATAGAAGATATTTAAAATGTAAAAACTAGTGTGGTTTTTGCCTTCATTTGTGATTATGAGGGTAATTGGAACATGCACATGGTTTGCTGCTATAAGGAAGTGTGTTTGGGAATTTTACATGACCCTTTGTGTTCATAATTTCCCTCCCCCACCCACTTACTTCTGCCTGCCCCTTGAACATTTTCAAGACGTGTAGGAGGTTAAAGGATGAATCACTCCCCTCTCTATCAGCACCTCCAAGTCTTCCCTGGTGCCCAACGGAGCCCCCAAAGTCCAGGGCTACAATGAAGGAGAACTCACTTCAGATAAACAGGACCATAGCCTGCAATCTTACCTTCCAATCCAAAAGAGGGAAACTTTTTTTTTAGTTGTTAGTAACCAGCCACCACTTCTTGTAAAAAAATCCCAGCAAGTGTTCATGTGCCCCATTGATGGCTGCCTCTAGCCAACCAGCTGCTCTTCCTCACCTCTCAGCCCGCGCTCCACAGTGTTCCGAGCTGGGCTCTCAGGTGAATGATGGAGTCTCAGCAGGACTCTGGGCCCCACCCAAACCCTCCCAGGAGGAGCTGTTCCTTCTAGAATGGCAGAGACAGACAAGGGGCCCAGTACCTCTTACAACCTCACACCATAGCCCAGGATGAACTGCTCCCTGGATTCAACACCACAAATACATTAAGCTCCTGGTAGACAGGAGTCATGGCATAGTTCTTCCATCTCCTGCAGAACCAACTTGGCATTATCCTAGACATATGGCAGCTGTTATCTCAATGCGCTGCATAGAGAGACCAGTTTCTTCATTTGTTAATGTTGGGTAGCTAGAATAGGGAAAAGGAGTCCAAAATGGCGGTGGCTAAAAGACAGGAAGGGAAAAGCCCACGAAAATAGAACAGAGGAAGGTCAAAGGAAGGTCGGAGGACCAGAGTGAGGACTTCAGGTAGAATAGAGCTCCTGCCTAAGCCCAATTTGCATAGGACAGGCCCAGGGGGAAGAAAAAACATATAAAAAGAGGAGCCAAAGGGCTCTCTCTCTCTTTCCTGGGTGCTCTTCTCTTCGCATCTTTGGATCGACATGCCCTCACGCCTTGAAGATGGATTTTCCTGCTATCTTCTAAATAAAATAGAGCTGTAACACTGAGATGTAACACTGATTTCTCTAAGAGCTATAACACAGTCTGTTCGAGACCTGAGAGCTATAACATGGTCTTTCCAAGACCCGAGAGCTGTGAGGGGGCTTTAATGTTCTTCACTCCAAATCTTTGTTGTGATGAGACAAATAACCGAGGAGCATACACTCGTCTGACATTAAGATTTTTGTGTTTGAGCTTTCATTCTTTCAACATTAAATGTTTATGGATCTGCTTCTATGGCTATAGTCCTAGGTTGCACACTCCAGGCATACAAAGATAAGTAAGATGTGGTTTCTGCTGTTGAAAACCTTATATCTAGTGATGGTAATATCCAGACCATGAAGAGGTAAGTCAGAATAAGTGTTTAAGAAAAGCATAATATAGTATTACAGGGACAGGGCCTTACAGATTAGGTATATATAAATATGTTTGGTTCCTTGAGCCCCACCCCTTCCTACTCCCAAGGCATTATAGATTACTGACCTAAACCAACTCCTTTAGTCCTTTATCCTTGACCTGTAATGAATTTCAACAAAGATTAATTTCAAAGAACAACTTGGTAACACAGAGGCCCAAGTTTATGCTTCAGAAAGTAAACCCCATTCTCATTGTTTAAAAAAAAGTACATTGTCAAAGCTTGAAAGAACAGGTGTGATGGAAATATTCATCCTGCTTGTGGGAAACAAAGAAGCCAAGAACAAAAGAATTCTTTCTGGATTTCATCCGAAACTCAAACAGATCTGAGAACACAGCCTGCTGGAAGAATAAGAGCCTGAGGGGTTGTGCTGAGTATAAATTCACTCCCATCTCTTCAAGTCTGCTTTTTATGTTGACCTTGACCAACAGGTGTATCCTGAACTAAATACACCTTGTCTCCCAAGACTCCTTGTGTGACTCCTTTTACAAAA